CGGGAGCACCGCCGCGCTCCCAAGCGGCGCACTCTCCAGTGCGCCACCGGGCCGGCCCTATCATGATTTTATTTTATTTTTATTTATTTATTTATTAAAGATGACTGGTAAGGGGATCTTAACCCTTGACTTGGTGTTGTCAGCACCACGCTCACCCAGTGAACTAACCAGCCATCCCTATATGGGATCTGAACCCGTGGCCTTGGTGTTATCAGCACCACGCTCTCCCAAGTGAGCCACGGGCTGGCGCCTGTCAGGATTTTAAGTTAAAGTTTATTTTAAAATTTCACCTCTTATTATTTGAGATATCTGCCATGTGTGCTTCTGAGTGTGAAAATATTAGTGGAAAGTAAGAACTGAGATGCTTGTATCAAATGGGAAATTTGGGGGGTGCTGGAATATATGCATGTAGATAACACTTGACTGTTCCTTTTAAGTGCCTTGTAGTGAGAGTTATTGGTCACTCAGGACTGTCTCTCTCTCTTTGCAATCCCCAATCCCTGAGTGACCAGGCAAGTGGGCTCTCCTGGGTCCTCTGAGGGCCAATGCAGATCCTGCACCCGTGACCGTAGCAGCAGGAATGATGTCATCACAACACTGACCTTAGAATAAGATCTCCATCCTACACTCCTCTTAAAAGTAAAGCAGAGTTTGACATTTACCACCATTTCAATTGAGTAATAAAAGCTTTCACAGAATGTGGTCCACTGAAAGAGACACGAAATTTAATTTACCTATTTGTCTTTATTCTGTTTGTTGAGGTTTGATAAATCACACAAAAAATATGCTATTAATTGGATCAAATCAGATTTTTCATCAATTTATATACTCATCAGGAGTCTCCATCAGTGGGACTCATTTTCATTCTTAATTCATTTCTATGGCTCTTGGTGAAACACAGTATCAAACTTCATGAATCTCATTTGCATGTTAATGAAACTGAGAAACAAAATAGGATCATTTTAATTATCTTTTGCTGGTTGTCAACCTACTTGATTACCTTTTTCTTTTTCATTTAGTTTTTCTTTTTTTCCTATTAATTACATGAAGTGTTCACAAAGGATTGTCAGATTTTGAGTGATTTATTAAAGGCTATATTATTTCCAGTATTGAAACATTCCTCATAGTATTTAGATCAGGCTGGGGAAGATCATTCAGCCAAGTCAGCAGGTCATGTATAAATAAATTAAACCAGCAAATAAAGGTCTCAGTATCCTAGATACACAGACAGAGGACTTATTTCCTGTGCAATATGGAATACTTAAGGGCCTATAAAATGAACAGGCAGTAAAAGTGGAAAGAACCCCTTGTTTTCCAGCTGAGGGATAGAGGAATAGTGTGAAAATAACTAGGGGCCCCAGTATTGAGGGAAGGGGATCAGGAAAAGGCTCCTGTTAAACAGAGTGATTCCATCTCTACCAGTAGGGAGGAAAAAAATTTACTTTTTTTGAGGTATACTGGTTTAATTATGCCACAAGTGCTGTTGTGGGTTGAATTGTGTCCTCCAAAAGGATACATTCAGATCTTAACCCTGATACCTGTGCATGTGACCTTATGTGGACATAGTCTTTTCAGATGTAATCAATGTAAAATGAGGTCATGCAGGATTAGGGTGGGCACTAAATCCAATGACTGGTATCCTTGTGAGCAGAATGAGATTTGGAGATACACAGAGACACAGAGGAGACAGAGGGAAGGAGGGAACTTGAAGATGGAAGCAGAAATTGCAGCTGCAAACCAAGAAATTTCAAGGATTGCCAGCAACCATCAGAAGCTAGCAAGAGCCACAGAAGGATTCTTCTCTAAAACCTACAGAGACAGTATGGCCCTGCTGACACCTCGATTTTGGATTTCCAGCTTCCAGAACTGTGAGAGAACAAATCCTTTAAGCTGCCTAGTTTCTGATACTTTGTCGTGGCAGCCCCAGGAAACTAATACATGTGCCATGGAATAAATAACTCCTTTTTTTTGTTAAATGATGCTCCAGAAGACTGTTTAACTTAAATAATGTTTAACAACAAATGATTTACTTCTTTTGTCCCAAGAAGATACATATCAGTTTGAACCCAGGAGATTTCACGGCTCAGAGAAGTGTACTTAACTGTTAACAACACAAACAAAAACCAATTAGTACTAATACTGGCGATAAAGTGGAATCAAATGTCTCTCTGCCTTTATATAATATTACCATTGCTGCAGTTTCAGTACAGTTTAAATTTTAACAGGCAACTTAAAGTTATGTATATGTTGAGTTTTAGTATTATCAGTGTAGAGATCAGGCAGGGCACAGTATATCATTTGGTGGTCCAAATGTGTTCTTAGGACAGAATGTGAAGAAGCCACATCTTGTAGAACTGTTCCTGAGGTGGCAGTATAACCCGAATGAAAGTCTTTATTTTCATTTACTTAAGAAACCTTGGAAGTTGATTATTGTAAACTGATATATTTGTGTACACAAGTAAAATAATGAAGTAGTAAATATAATTATTGTCCACAGCAAAAATAAAATATTTATATGCTTGAGCATAAACATGTATTTGTGCATTCATATATGATTGTATAGCAGATTGCTACATAAACAATAATATGTGATTAAATAGTCCCCAGCGACTTAACCTCATCTTAGCAAATCTCACAGGACCAGATATATACACAGGTAATCTCAGGGAATTCAGCCTTCCACACAACTATTACAGAAAGAGTCCATTTATTCCTGATTAATTATAAAGCAAAGCAGAGTCAAAAAATTATGGTTATATTTTATATGTTCATTGTTGGATTGAAGTAATGATAAAACATTCTCACATGTCCTTAGTCAAATTCTGTGAACTAGGGAGATGTGATGGTTTTATTTAAAATATTTTTGCTTTTTTTTTGCATTGGAAATTGGTTTGTGAAGTTTAAAAAAAATTTTTAAAAAACCCCTCTCTAAGAGATTAACGTTTTGAGAAAAGTTTGGAAAATGAAGTTCCAGCTCAATTTTGTGTTCAGTGGTGTGTCACTTGTGCTTATAGATTATATTTTGAATACTGGCCTTGAGAAGGTGAAATAAAAATGAGTGAAGATGTACATCTTTTATTTCTCAATACGCCCATATCCTCTATTCATTAAAGCAGAGGAGAGTTTGCTGCCACCTCTAAGATTAATATAGAATCACTTCTGTTCTTGTATCGATTCATTTGATTTAGT